GCAGTTCTTCTGACCTCGCAGCTGTGCTAATAGAGCAATATATAAATAATACACCTGTATGTAGCAGTGACACTTTATCATTCTTCAGTATCAATGCCCTGAAGATTTGTTAGCAACCATTTCTTTTTTTATTCCAACCTTACAAATGCTAAAAACTGCTCATCACCACACTTCCTTTAGGTAAACTCTGATAAGCTACGATCACAGGTCCAGACTCTTCCATTGATCACATTTTCCCCCACTTAGGTTCTCTGTTCTCCTGCATCCATGCACATGTGACTTATGTTGTCTATTTTGCTTCTTTTCAAAATGTATATTTTTTTCTGCAAGGAACAAGAAAGCTATTCTCCATGCTATTATTAGATTACTGTAACTCGCTATGTTCCTGCCTGAGTCAATACAACCGATTCTGGTTTTTTTTTCTGTTTGTTCATATTAAGCAACTAATAATTTCAGCTGTACAGAAGGCAAAATACACAATACCAGCTTGAAACAGCAAATATGTTAAAGAACTAATTGCATCATCTTAATCGTATTGGTATGTAAGAAACTGTCCATCAGGTTCAAATCCCACATTAAGCTCAGTGTTAGGCCATCAAGTCCTATCAAGATTTCCTTAAGCAAGACACTGATCCTCTCTGCGCTCATTAGTCGCCACAGTGTAGAGATTAACTGAATTATCTGCTACTTGTACCTAAAGACAAAGCAACTGACTCACAGAGAGACCAACACACCAAAGTCCATGCAAAACGCAGAAAACGTGTAATGTCTACTGGCCAAAAGAATTAAACACACTGGCTCTATGTTATACAAGCAGACACAGATACAGACCATTTGTAGCGACCGACTGGGTCCCAGAAGCCGGGTCGGGGCACTGTACAGGGTCCACACACTGCCTGCTTGTACAGACTGTAGAAACGCAGCATCACCTCATAGGACGGCCGGTAGGAACCTGCAAGATGACACAGACAGCTTTTTGGTTTGTTTAAAACGGACAAACATACTGGAATCACTTCACTCACAATTCTCACAATACTGAAACGACACTGTTTTTATTATCACAATATGCAATAATATCATACATCCCTACCAGGGGGTCTCTCACACCAAAGCAACAAAAGACATAGTATGATATTTGGTGAAGTAGCATAGGATGTGATAACATGGGAGTTGTTGTGTTCATTATTAAACAACCACCATTGCTGATGAAAATCTATCTGACCTGACTCAGGCAGAAATTATGTTCACAGACGAGGTAGTTTTATTCACATTACGACTTCCTCTCACTCTCCACCGTTTACACAGAAGTTAGAAGTAAGTAAGTAAGAAACATACCGTTAGCTGAATAAAAGGACAATTCCTCTGGGTTTGAGCCTCGTTGGAAACATTCACAACTCTATAAAATATGTACCACAAGTCTAGTTATTTTACCAACTGCCTATTTCTCTATTCAGGTGGAGAAACCCAATAAGGACTGCAGATCACTAGACAGTGCTTCTCATTGACAACAATACATATAGTATGGAATGTTTTACAAATCATAGAAAGTATGAGCACTTGCATGTAATAATAAAAATAATACTAATAGGTGATATTGTTTTCAAAGTTTGTTTATATGACCAAATATCCAGGAGATAATACATAGCTGTTGAGGCTACACTCAGTTTTTTAATAATCTGGTTTTATACTGAATCACATCTGCCCCAACAGGTCAACTGCCCCGAGGCTTCTGAGCTCCACACTTCAACTCTACAACAATAAAGACACGGTCTCATGAAGCGTTACAGTCTGACCAGCAACAAACCTTCATCACATGGTGCGTGATGTAATGTGATGTCTGTAAAAAGGCTACTTACCATTTTTGGGGAGGTTATGGATGACATCCACAGCAGCCTGAAAGCGTCTCTGGTGATCAACCACGGTCTCTGCCATAGCTGGGACCGGCATGACACTGGGACTTGTTTAATCTAGCTGGAGTGCAACTGGAGCTGAGAGAGCACGCACAGACACACACACACACACACACACACACACACACACACACACACACACACACACAGTTATAGCAAGTCTGTTAGGAGAGCGCAATCAATAAGTAACTGTATTCACATCATGCTGCTTCTTTAAATTCATCAGTGGCTAACATATCTTTCAAACAGGACAATATATCTGTCTGTCCTGTATTGTGACAAATATTCCTGAAAAATGATTTCTTAAACAGGAGTGGGAAACCAGATAAAGCTTTCCAAAGCTTTAACGCTCAGCACTATGGGAATGTCCTCCTGTCCTTCCACTGATTGCTGTTTCATCTGGTCAGAGATTTATTGGAAAGTGTTCATGATGTGGTTTTAGTGGTAAAACAGAGCAGTGTGACAGTCTGCCCGAGCTATACTCAATGTGATACTTCATGTATATTCAATACAAGAAACCAATAAAGTCCAATGCAGAACATAAGCTACATGATCCTACCGCCCAGCACTGTGTGTAGTACTGCTGATACAGGTTAATACGCAGTCTATATGGCGCATTAACGACTTTCACCGATTAGAACATTTTCTGATGGATTTCATCTCGTGCAGTTTCGGGCCGAACGGAAGACTTGCCGGTGGTTCAAGTTAAGAGCATACACATAATATTCTGCTGCACGTTTATGAAGAGAAACAACGCATTACCAAACCCCGGGTTTTACTTTGATAAGGAAAAACAACAACGGCAAGAGCCACAAATTAAAGTTAGTCGAGCTAGCTAACTTAGCTAACCAAGTTAGGAGCTCCGGTGTAGCCTGTTAGCTTGTTAACTTGTCTTACCTCACTGGCTGTGTGTCCTGCCGCTTGCCATCCCCGGTACGGAGGGAACGGACAGAGAGACAGACAGAGAGACAGACAGAGAGCACACAGACACGGCAACGTTCAATGAGCCGACCGCCAACTGCGGCTTCGGCTACTTGACGTTTACTTGGAAACTGAAGTTTAATGGCGAAAGCGCCCACGAACCTAGCTGGGCTGCAACTGACCTATCGTCTGTAGTGTATGGAGAGGACTTCCGTGTCAAGTCACGTGACACGTCATTGACCGCGCCCACTTGAGTATTTAAAGGGACACCCATAAAACAACAATAATAATGAATGAATGAATGAATAATAATACATTAATAAAATATCAATAATACAAATTAAAGCACTCAGACTTGTAATACCAGTATCTTCTTTTAATTGTCTTCTGTAAAATCTAATGGCTTACTGATAATTTAATTTTTATCTCCCTAAAGTGCGCATGTATCTATACTACATATACATTAACTATATATACATGTACGTGTATATTGTTTTTTTCCCAAATTTTGTTTTTGTTATTTGATTTGAATTTCGCTTTTCACTTATTTTCTTAAATGTTTTTATTGATTTATGTTTGTGTTTTGTCACTGTACAACTCATTATTGGATTAAAAGTGTTATAACTAAAATGTATTATATATTTCTATTCACCTATTATCCTATATTATCTTAAAACAAATGAACTGAACTGAAATGAACAAAACAATAAAAGCTACATGTGATACAAAAAAGGCACAAAAAAGAAGCACATCATAGACAGATGAATACATAAGCTTTAATGGTTTCTGTATAGCTCCGCAGCAGACCCAGCCTTCCTCACAGGCAGCCTGATATCACATCATTGAGCCCAGTTCTGTGTTTGTACTTCATAATGGTAAATTGTAAAAGGACTGTCCTTATATGGCGCCTTTCTAGTCTTTCGAGCACCCAGTGCGCTGTACACAACATGCCACACTCACCCCATTCACACACATTCATACACTGATGTACAGCGTGTTTCAGATCAGCTAAAGAGCAATCAATCAATCAATCAATCAATCAACTCTCTGCAGTCCATCTATTACAGCAATCATTCTGCAGCACCTTTGCCCCAGTTACAGCGGGCAGTACTGGAGGATCAGCTGTTCCGTTCATCACTCAGACTGTGCTTTGGATCACATTAGAGACTAGTAGACCGAGAGGAGGACGGCTGCTTCAGATTAGACACATGAACGTCTCTCTTCGGTCTATAATCCGTTTAAAATCCGTCCGTTATCAAGCGGCAACAGACACACAACACAAAGGCCGGACATGTTGAGATTTTGCTTTCACAACAAAAGCATAATGTTCATTAGATCGCACAGCAGAAAAGAACTCCAGTTCAAACTGTGGAAATAAAGAGAAATGATCCATAGGGAAATATTCAGTTTTTATTTAGTAATAGTAATGAGCAGTTTCAAGTTCAAGTTTTTCCTTGTAAGTGAAAACCTAAATCATATTACATGCAGGACAGCAGGGGTGTTACAATCAGGGAAGGGGTCCCAATCACTTTCACACACAGCCCATTTCATAAGATTATGTCTTATATAAGATTTTTCTTTTTTACTTTTTTATAATAAAGATGGAAACAGTGGTTAAGTCCCGCCCCTTCCTGCTCTGTGCTCCAATAACAGCTGAGCAAGCCTTCAGAAGCTCAGTGGACTCTAGCTAGCTAATCTGCATCAAACGTTTAAATAATATATAATTTATTATAAGTTACATCTCAAAGCAGGGTTGAATGAAATTGGATGATGAAACACAGCTAATAAATTCCTCCATTTTCAACTTGAGTTTTCTTTTATTCCTCAGAGGTCAGCACTGTCTAGATAGTTAGCTAGCCTTTAGCTTACAGAAGCTAACTTAAAATGAATAGCCTACATCGCTTTTAACTTTTAAGCATCTTAAAAATGTGATTGTCTTTTCAACATAGAGAGCCTAGCACATAGCATATCTACATATCTGTGTCTCTGTGGAAGAGATCAGCCCCACATATAAAACTGGGTCAATAAACTACTGTTCATTTTTGTTCATCCCAACTACTTTCAGCGACTTTTATTTTGAAGGCCACCCCAGGAAGCCTTGGTGTGTTGTGGGTTCGACGCCTTTTTGATCCCTACAGCTCCCTGTGTTTATAAATCCGAGCTCAGTGACATCAGCAGGGTGAAGGTTTGGCCCGGCTCCTGGTTTCCTCCTCCAGAATAAAACCATGAGGTGCAGCCTGCGCAGCGCTGTGTCTGCGGAGACGCTCCCGTTGTCCTCCTGCAGGAGCTCCACACAGCTGATCCACTAGACCGCTGACCTCCTGTCCGAGCAACAACGCAGGATCCGGCCACAGGGAAGGCAAAGGAAGGGAGGAAGGGAGAAATAAAGCGCAGCCTCCTTGCGTTATGTTGGGGAACAGAAAGAAAGCAGCTCCGGGGGGGAAGAACGGAGCCGGGACGTCTAAGGCCATCGACCCCCTGAAGAACCTGGGTGAGTGTTTGATACTGCTCCTGCAATTATTTAATGATGAAAGGCTTCTGCCTCTGAGATTGTAAGACTGATATACTGACTGTAGATTACCGTTATGTCCCCGCCCCCCCCCCCTTCTCTGCAATGAGGAAATATTTCAAATCAGTGGGAAATAAGGATCCAGCAGTGGACACTTTCATGTCATATACTCTGAGCCGACCTCAAAAAGAAAGCAAAAGTAGTAGAATTAACACAAGATTCCTCTTCTTAGCGTTTTAATACACATTCACACTTTAATATGTTACAGCTGTATAATGTAGCCTATGTTACACTGAATTACATGTTATTATCAGAAGTGGAATAATGAATCCAGCTGAGCTCGGGTTACCAAGAGGAATGGTGTACATTTGTGTTATAAACCATGATCTATAGGATTAATTTTTTTGGCCAAAAAATTTGCGCCATAATCAAGTCCTGTTGAAGTAGTGCTGTGTATTAGGTAGGATACATATTGCAATACTGTAAGCAAGTAGATACATTTTGATTTTTAGACACACCACCATAAATGCAGTTTACAGCACTGTTATCGCGTGGTTCTTAAACACAAAAATCCATACAGTGTTTCTGAGAATCGATACAATATCACAATACTCTAGTGTATCAATACTTTCTTACGTTTTCAGCTGGAAGTGATTAAAAGTTGTATGTGCAACAGTTATCTTCATTACTGATTATTATGTCAGTTATTTTTATGAAAAATGTCAAAAGCAGATTTTCTCAGAGCCCAATGAGATGTCTTCAAACTGCTGTCCAATATGACCAACAGTTTAACAATCAAAAGATATTCAACCGACAGTGATATAAAACAGAGCAAAAAAAAACAGCAAATCCTCCCGTTGCTGGAAGAAAAATCCATAAAGGGACGATGCAGCTCAGTCCAAGAGTTCGCAGAGCCTGGCTGCTTTCTCTGATCTGCTCACCCTCAGCCATAGCAAGCTGAATGTGCATCTGCTGCTCATGAGCAGCCATGGTACACGTTTAAGAATTACTGAGGTTTATTCCACTCAAAAGGTCCCTGTGTTGTTCGTCAGGTCACATAATACAAGGTTACAAACTAATTGAACTGTGATTTTGCAAAAAGGGTTGTGTAATGAAATTCAGGGTGTAGTTTCCTTCATGCTACTTGTAAAAACAAAAAATATATATCCAAAAATGATATCTGGTAAATTTGATTTGCTAAAACTTTCACTATACCCTGACAGTAGTACATGGGTAATAATCTGTACTACTGTCAGGATATAGTGAAAGTTAAAAAATAATTTTAATTCAAAAAATAATTTTAATTCATAAGAATGTGTGTCAATGAAAATGTACATTGTGGCAGCGTATCAGAGTGGATAGTGTTCTAAAATCTTGTCAGTCAGAATTTGGATGTTTTGGTAGAAAAACAACTCCTGGGTGCAGTGAGGAACACGAGGAACAAACTAATACACCTGGGTCTCTGCAGAACAGTAATGGTGGATAACAGAGACATTTGAGGAACTTAAATAAAATCCAGGAACAGAAGGCTCTTTGGGTTGTAGTTTACAGTCTAGGACAGGGTGAACTGGGAGCTGTTGTGAATAATGATCAGTACTCAGTCACTGCAGCTTTCTTTTTTCTGTTTATTATTATGAACACATCTGGATCAATGTGACAATTAGTGATTCAACACAAGTTGTTTAAAGACATCATTTTGCGTTCTTTTAACCTATGATAGACATTTGTAATGTTTTGACATGTTATAGACTAAACCATGCATTGATTAACCAAGTTGGTTTTTTTATGGCATTAGGCCCTGTGTTGTAGCCCCGTTAGTCACTGGATGTTGCAGACAGACAACTCAACCACAGATCTACAGTCTATATTTGTAGATGATGCTGCTCTACATCTCAATGTAAAAACTGTGTCTGAGTATTAACCGGCTTCTCTCTGACATTTAGAGGCTCAGTGGTTCTGTTGGTGCTGGTATTGTCTGTGCAGGCACACAGGCCAAACTGTGGAGGGTTCTGAGGCTAAGTAATGTATCATATTAAAGGTCCAGTGTGTATTAATGGTTCACACCTGTTAACACTTTGTAGAACATACAGCTTGCTCCATCTCTGCTGTGTTTAAAGCAGAGCTAAAGCAATGGTAAATATCACTATTCTGCCAGCAGTTAACTGTTAAAGTTAGCTGTTTTCTAATTGTTAGTCAGTGTCTGCTGGGATACATCAGGGGCCTAGAAATCAAATCTTTCATTTCATTCAAATTAAACTTATTATTAGAGAAAATACACACAACTGTAAAATACTGTATATTATGTGAGATATAAATGAGAGAATAGCAGCAGAGAACAGTGATTACGAGGTTCCAGTTGCACTGTGTGCTAACATACTGACCCCATATTACTGACCAAACCCCAAACAGCACGAGGACCAAAGCAGGGGCTAACACCTGGAACTCTGAATGCGTCCTCTGGTTGAGGAGGACATTTGATTTAACAGCTGCTAAATGTTTGTTTATTTCCTATGTGGGACACCAAAGTTTAAAATCAGTCTGGACAAATACACAGCACGTGTTTTTTATAAAAATGACCTACTGCAGCTTTAAGAAGTCATAAAAAGGTAGTGTGAGCGTTGGAATCCAGCACAGACAGATTCTGCTCTGTGGGGACGTGCTGTGTATTTGTCCAGACTGATTTTAAACTTTGGTGTCCCACATAGGAAATAAACAAACATTTAGCAGCTGTTAAAGCAAATGTCCTCCTCAACCAGAGGACGCATTCAGAGTTCCAGGTGTTAGCCCCTGCTTTGGTCCTCGTGCTGTTTGGGGTTTGGTCAGTAATATGGGGTCAGTATGTTAGCACACAGTGCAACTGGAACCTCGTAATCACTGTTCTCTGCTGCTATTCTCTCATTTTAATATACAGTATTTTACAGTTGTGTGTATTTTCTCTAATAATAAGTTTAATTTGAATGAAATGAAAGATTTGATTTCTAGGCCCCTGATGTATCCCAGCAGACACTGACTAACAATTAGAAAACAGCTAACTTTAACAGTTAACTGCTGGCAGAATAGTGATATTTACCATTGCTTTAGCTCTGCTTTAAACACAGCAGAGATGGAGCAAGCTGTATGTTCTACAAAGTGTTAACAGGTGTGAACCATTAATACACACTGGACCTTTAATATGATACATTACTTAGCCTCAGAACCCTCCACAGTTTGGCCTGTGTGCCTGCACAGACAATACCAGCACCAACAGAACCACTGAGCCTCTAAATGTCAGAGAGAAGCCGGTTAATACTCAGACACAGTTTTTACATTGAGATGTAGAGCAGCATCATCTACAAATATAGACTGTAGATCTGTGGTTGAGTTGTCTGTCTGCAACATCCAGTGACTAACGGGGCTACAACACAGGGCCTAATGCCATAAAAAAAACAACTTGGTTAATCAATGCATGCTCTATAACATGTCAAAACATTACAAATGTCTATCATAGGTTAAAAGAACGCAAAATGATGTCTTTAAACAACTTGTGTTGAATCACTAATTGTCACATTGATCCAGATGTGTTCATAATAATAAACAGAAAAAAGACAGCTGCAGTGACTGAGTACTGATCATTGCTACGAATTTCTCACATCAGTGTTACAGACCTCAGATATAATATTTAAGTTACAAACCTAACATCAGTAACAGTATCTGACCAACAGCTAGCTAGCCAGCTCGCTCAGTGTTATGTTCATAATGTGTTTGTGAGCTAAATAGCCTATACATAATAATGTAGTAGAAATGAACATATGATTTGTACAATAATTACAAATCTACCTTCACATTATTTCACCTTAAGTAATGTTATGTTTCCTTTACCTCAGTCAATGACCTTTATTGAGGAAGTTATTAAGTGTGAGCCAGTTAATGAAGACACTGACTGAGCACTAATTGTCTCTCAAAGCCCTGTTTGACTGTGTGTGTGTGTGTGTGTGTGTGTGTGTCTGAGGGGACTTCAAAGCCAACTGCATTAGCAGTGATCATCGTCCAGCACAATTAAATCTCTTCCTTAATGAAGACTTCCCTTTCCACATGAACATTTTTTTATTTATTTTTTTAAGTATTTTCTGGGCTTTTATTGATAGTGACAGCTGGAGATAGACAGGAAAGGGAGGCAGAGTGAGGGAATGACACGCAGCAAAGGGCCACAGGTCGGGTTCGAACCCTGGGCCACAGCCTCGGTACATGGGACGCCAGCTCTACCAACTGAGCTAACTGGGCAGCCGGACATTTTAACATGTGTTTTAGTCAGCTGTGGTTAAATCCTGTATGATAACAAGCTTTCTGCCTGCTGGGGCGCTGAATGCTCACAGGCTCCAGAGGATCCTGACCTCCCTGGAACAGAAGTGAGAGAGTGTCGTCGTCACCATCATCTTCTTCATGTTCATCATCATCATCACCATCAGTCACTACTATTAGTGTAGTTGTTGCTACTGTTGTTGCTGTGCACCTTTGTCTCTCTCTCTCTCTCTCTCTCTCTCTCTCTCTCTCTCTCTCTCTCTCTCTCTCCCCCAACTGGTCGAGGCAGACGGCCAACCACCTAGAGCCAAAGGATCTGTCCTAGGTTTCTGCCTCTTAAAAGTTTTTCCTTGCTGCCGTCGCCAAGTGCTTGCTCATGGAGGTACTGTTGGGTCTCTGTAAATACTTTTATAAGGAGTACGGCCTAGAATTGAATTGAATTGAATTGAAAAAGAGGAAACTGTTGTATTGTCAGGTTATTTAAAATACTTTTTTTTTCAAAGGTTTGGACAGGATATTTGTGTTTTCTTTGACCCAGAATCAGCAGTGTCGCTCTGTGGTCCAGGTAAGGACCCGAGGCAGTCAGTCATGATCCTGGCAAGGTCACATGTTGTTTTAGTAAATCCCTGTTTGGTCCCCCTACTACAGATTTAGGTCTTGGATAAGTACACTGAAGCTAAAATGAATTTGGGCAGAGAACATGA